AACAGATGAGAAGGCAAATGAGAGGTGTGTATCAATCCTAAACATTAGGCCTTCTTTTATAGGGGGAAAATCCCCCCAAACTTAACTCCCAATCGATGTGGGACTTTGGCATTTTGCCAAACTTCAACAGACTCTTCACACAGCTCAACAAGATTTTTAACAAATGAAAAGAATTAACAGAAAAGAAAAGAGAAGTAACGAAAAATAAAAAACTACTTGAAAAGAAAAAGAATGACTTACATCTGTTAGAGCACCTTCATTTAAATCATTACAGGTATTTCCGGTCGACTCCTATGGTGCAATATTTGGCCAGTAATCCCCCTTCTCAAGTTCTAGAGTTGGTTTGAGCAATGGGCAGTCGTGAATCCATAGTGTAGAAATGAAAGAGGGCGTCCCTTTTACTAGAAGAGATTGGAGTTTAGGGCAATACTGGATGACCAGCTTGGAGAGGGAGGAGGGCAGCTCTGTATCTGGAATAGAATTGAGTTGATGGCAGTTGTAAATCGTTAGACGTTGAAGCGAGGTGAGGCGTCGAAGACCGTCGGTCGGTAGTGAATGGAGTTCATCATGGCCAAGTAATTTTAGCTCAGAAAGAGATGAGGGAAGCCCTTCTGACTGAATTTGATGTAAATTAGAAGTAGATAGATATTCAAGAGAAGTGAGGCTTTTGAGAACTTGGCTGCTTAATGTTTTCAGATTTTCTATCGAATAGAGCAAGGCAACTCCCAAAGAGGAATCACTTCGTCACTACCATCATGCAGGGGAGTCTCTGTAAACCCCACTCCTTTCGCCCATTCACCAGTTTCTTGCAATGCTGGATCTCAATGACTTACTTCTAAACTGAAGGGCAATCCTCCTTCAGGAAAAGGAAACGACTCTATTTCTGGACAATTATTCAGAAATAGTTCCTTAAGAGATGGAACAAGTTCCTGCATATGTTCTGGCAGCGACTTCAGCTTAAGCAACGACGTTGTTTGAGCCACATAAAATATTTCAAGATTCTCACATTCTTTAATTATGAGATCTTCAGTCCCGTTGGGAATCAAAAGCCTTGTAAGGCTCCCTCAAATAGCGTGTTTGTCTCAGTTATAGAATCACATCCTTCCAGTTCCAAGAGACGATATGAACCATTCTGACGTGATTCTTTTATTGTGATTTGAACTCTTATTTGGTATGCTGTTATCTTTCAAATTTAAAATTCACTTTAATCGGCTATCTAAAAATTTGAATGATTCTTTAGCTGGTGAAACTTAGTTTCAGTATAACTGGCAAGGCAATATGAATGTTCTATCATGTTCCATCAATACTCTAAAGGGGTTATATGATGTTGGTAAAATCATCAACCATGGTTTCTCCAAGAGTTTCTCACACTCAAAAGTCAAATCACACACCACTTAGTCTTAAAGCTAGCGAGATCACAACAGAACATGATCCAAAACCTTTCCAAACTAAAAAATAAAATTCATCAAGAAGAGGAAGCAGCATCAGTAGTAGTAGGAGGTAGGAGATTTCTTGCTGGAGGGAAGAATGCAACAGCACCTCTATCTGGACTCGAAAACTTCCTGTATATTGCTTTCAGCTTACTTTCTGCAGCACCCAAGTGATAGCTAACCAATTGCTTTGCACATTCCCTGTTACACAAAAAAGTTAAACTCATGAGACTATAGAAACTTAATATCAACCTAATTAAGATACTAAACTGAAATGAGTTCTTGAGGAAAATTACGTCAACTGATCTTCTGAGTAGCCAATATGGTGCTGCAGAGTTTGAGTCCATAGTGGAGTTTTGCTGAGAGTGCTTCGAGCAGCATAAATGGATGCTGCTGCTAGCATTGATGGGCAGTATGATATTGTGGTTTTGTAATTCATAAGACCAAGTTCAGCAAAAAAGAATTTCATGTTCTCCATCTAAAACAAGCAACAGAAATATTATTAGCCAAGTTGAGATAAAACAAGAATTCGTGTCAAAACAGTATGTATATGCACATGTAAATGAGTGCAATGCATGAGAAGTACGTAAATAAAACTTTTCGGAACGTCATAAGACTATTATACCTCTGACTAATATTGCGAAATAAACTTTTTTCAAACTTACGTATTTTTCTGAGACTCATGAATAGACAATAGAATAATAAGACTTATGGGAATTCAAAAACATAGGCATCTCTAATACTTCTATGAACATATTCATTTATGAAAATTGTGCGTTTGCTCATTTCTTCTGTATAATTTGGATCATGCCAAAAGAAAAAAAGGATAGCCTTAACATACCTGAGTTTCCCGTCACTAGGCCGAGGTAATACCTTACCGCCAAAGCTACACATGCTTTGCCACTGAATCATCACATGCTCGATCTTTAGGAGCTAATTAGTCATAGTGTTACTCAATAATAAAAACTGATGAGATTAAAACCTTATGAACATTTCCTACGGTATAGCTATCAATATTTCTTTCTTTGGTTGCCCCACTTCTATATGCCATCAAGCTCCCTGACAACTCAAGGTGCATAAGAAATAGCAAACATCATTATCAAAATTTACATTTAGGTAATCAGTTGTATTCGTCAATTGCAAAGAAAAGTATTTTCATATGTAATGAAATCTTATTTACAAGCTGACAGATAAAGGACGATACATTTGTCCAGAAGATACAAAAAAGAAGATTCAACAAGTACAAGAACAGACTCATAGCTCTGAAGCTAAGACAGTCTGGTCGATACTGTGACATGATGAATTAGAGCTTTAGTATACCAACTACCAACTACCAGTTTTCAAAATTTGCCACCTTTCCCATGACTTTAAGAGTCATCTAAACTTTAAGGGGGACTGCCACGTTTTGG